AACCAAAAAAAAAAAAAAAAAAAAAAAGATTAAGGTGGAGTTAATAAGGGAACTATTTGGATGATGGAAAAAATTAAAAGTTGAACAAAAGAGGCTGAGGTGGGGCATGGAGCTAAATGCTTCTTATTGGTTGCTCAGGGTTGAAGGAGGGAGAGGTGAGAGACAGGAGGACCCAGCTTGTAGATTCAGAGAGGTGCAGTAGTTACAGCAGTTAATGGAGGCGTTAGTGAAAGGGTATAAAAGATACAGAATATTCCCAAATCCCTGAATCTTCTGGATTTGAGTCCTATGCAAGAAACAAAGCTTCTGCTTTTGAAAACTGGCCTCAGTCGGGCACGGTAGCTCATGCCTGTAATCCCAGCACTTTGGGAGGCTAAAGCGAGAGGATTGCCTGAGCCCATGGGTTCAAGACCAGCCTGGGAAACTTGGCGAGACCTCGTCTCCATAATAAATCAGAAAATTAGCTGGGCATGATGTACATGCCTGTGGTTCCAGCCACTTGGAAGATTGAGGTGGAAGGATCACCTGAGCCCATCCGGTTAAGGCTGTGGTGGCCATAAGCGTGTCACTGCATTCTAGCCTGGGCAACAGAGTGAGATTCCAACTCAAAAAAAAAAAAAGGAAAGAAAGAAAGAAAAGAAAAAGAAAACTGGCCTCATGTTTCTGCAAGGTTAGTTGGAGTGGGATGTGCCAGAGGGCTGGAGAGGGCAGGTCAGAGAGAGGCCTGGGGGTCTGAGGTCTGGGTCTGGGGAGTCTGGTGGGAGGAAGAGGGATGCAGGGCTTGTTCTGGGCTCTAAAGAATGCCTCTATTTGGGAATTTGGCTAGGTCCTAGTTTTAGGGGTAGTTGTTGAGCAGGGCATGGCCTGGCTGAGATGAGAGGAGGGTGGATGTTGGGGCCACCATGGAGAAAGGCGGTGTTTGGTTGGTAGAGGCCTCAAATGCCAGGCAGAGTGGTTTGCCCTGGATTTGCAGGCTCTGGGTAGACCCTGAAGATGTGCAGATGCAGGTCTGCCTACTTTGGGGACCACTTTTCTTTTTATCGTGACATGGTGAAGATGAACATGTCCTGGCACAAGGATATCTCTGTGCTGAGTACCCTACCCTCAGGTGCAGGGATGCATGTCTCTGCTGTGTGACTGTGTTGGGGTCTGTTGTATGTTTCTGAGTGAGTTTATATGAGTGGCGCTTTTTTGGGCTGTGTGGGTGGATGGATGGTCTGTTTTATGGGCCTGTGTAGGTGCTTCTGAGTTGTACATCTTAGTGTGTGTGTGTCTAAGCTGTAGGTCTGAGTTGTGTGTATCTTTGTTTGGGGTCTAACATGTGTCTTTCTTTCTTTCTCTCTCCCTCTTCCTTCCTTCCTTCCTTTCTTTTTTTCTTTCTTTCGAGACAAGGTCTCGCTCCGTCACCCAGACTTGAGTGCAGTGGCGCAGTCATAGGTCACTGCAGCCTCAACCTTCTGGGCTCAACTGATCCTCTGGATCAGCCTCCCAAGGAGCTGGGACTATAGACACACACCACCACATCCAGTTAATTTTTGTATTTTTTTGTAGAGACAGGGTCTTGCTATATTGCCCAGGCTTGAGCTGTGTGTTTCTTCTTTTTCTGATGTCTGACTTGTGAGTGGATGGTTGGTTAAGGGACAGAGGTACCATTGCTACTGGCACTGAGTGCCCATAATAGGTGCACGGCCAGTTCAGCTGTGGTTCTAACCTGGAGGCTTTAGAGAAAGGCCAGAATATGACTCCTAGACTATTGTCCCTGAGTGAATGACCTCTCATTGAGCAATAATTAACTTGGACCTCGTGAGAAGAGTCCAAACTGTGGCGGTGAAGGGGGTGGGGTCTGGTCAGGGCAGGATTTATTGCTAGAGAAAGGAGGAGGCTTGAAAGTCCTATGGGCATGTGTGTTGTTATCATTCCCTCCCACCCACCCTTCAGGTCACTCACCCTGACCCAGGGTGACTAGGTCAAAATATTTAACAAACATTGAGGCACAGATATTGACCAATCAGAACAGACGCAAGCCATGCTCTGAATGGAGCAGTCCTGGAGGTCATGGATATGCCAAGCATTGCTAGTTGCTAGACAATGGAAATGTCTGGGAGGAGAATTCCAGGAAAGGGGCTGGCACAGAGGGGCATGGAAGAAAACTCAGGGGATCTCAGGCAGTGGTTGTGTGCCATGGATGTGTTTCAGACTTTAACAACCAAAGCAGATATATCATTTTGGGCCAACTAAACCTTGACCTGCTGTAGCCTCCAAGCAGCTGCCAGGCCAGCCCGGCATGCCATCGCTCCTCCCTTTGGGAGAATAATGAACCACCGTCTTCTGTCATCTGTAGGAATGGGAGAAGTGAATGATTCCTAACCTGCAGGAAATTGCAGTGATTCGGTCTGTTTCAATTTGGGAATGGGCTGCTTCCTGATTCGCTGTCATTCAACTTTCACTGAGGTGATAGGAGCCTGTAGGTAGTAGAAGCCAAGAGGGTTTGGGGACAGGGAAAGCAACTCCCTCCCTCTGAGGATAAAGGGAATGAAGTGATGGTATTGTGAACTGATACTGTCTCCTGGATCCAGACCCTGATGTAAAACAAATCTCATCCCCAGTAATGAAATCACCATCCCACCTTGAAAACTTAATTCCTCAGTTCCCAGAGTCCCAGCTCCCGTATCCATATAGTTAGTTCCATTTCCTTGGACTTTCTCTGATGGGTACAGGATGGGCCCTGGATGTGAGACAGTCCCTCCCATATGCACAAATGACAGTGTCAAGCTCCAACTGTGTCACACCTTTTATTACAAAAATCAATAACTTAATTCAGTTCTATACAAAGTCAGTAGGACTTCTGGTCCAAAGACAGCCTAAGCTTTAATTCCCATCACAGGGGGGGACAGGAGTCTTGTCCCAGAGTCTCTGGGAACCACCAAGAGGCTCTGTGTCCAAACCAAGGAAGTCAGAGACAGGGTGTGGCTGAGTGAGAGGCTGCTCCTGAGGAGCCAAGTGCTGTTTGTGCAGGCCTGCCCCCTCCAGGAGCATTGGGTCACCGTTGGGAATAGCCAGGCTGAGTTAGCACTGCCAGCCTCTGCCCAACTTATGCCTGATCTCTGCCTGGGCCAGAGCAGGTCACCTCAGCAAAAGCATGTCCTTGAGGAGGCCAGCGATGTCAACATCTCCAATGACAGGGCGAAAGAAGAGGTCCTCAAGCAGGCTGGGTGGAATGGATTTGAGGGTGGAGGCTGTGAGGAGGACATGGGACAAGCGGCCTTGGCCTGCTAGGCACCAGGGTTCCAGGACTTCATACAGTGCCCGGTGAGCCTCCTGCTGCAGGTGCCCAATGTGGGAGGACGCATAGAGGCCTGGCACATCTGTGGATAGACAGAAAGAAGAGAGCTGGTGAGCACCCCACCTCTCAGCCACCAAGGGTGAGATTGGCCTAATATCTGAGGATACCAGCAGACACCCCTATGCCTCCTTTTCTTAGTCATCAAGGCCTACTACGACCTCCTCCTAGTAATGTATTTATTTATCATTTTATTCATCTATCCATTTATGAAGAGACAGTATAGAGTAATGGTTAAGAATCAGGATGCCTGGGTTTGAATCCCAGTGCTGTCACTTAGACAACGGTAACCTTGGGCGAGTTATATATTTAAGTGTTTATTTATTTACTCTTGTTTATTTACTTTTTTTGAGTCAGAAGCTCACTCTGTTGCTCAGGCTGGAGTGCAGTGGCATGCTCATGGTCACCACAGCCTTGACCTGCTGGGCTTAGATAATCCTTCCAAGTAACTGGAACCTCAGCCTTCCAAATAGCTGGAACCACAGGCACACGCCACTATGCTGGGCTAATTTTTTTTATTAATTGTAGAGACGAGGTCTCACCAAGTTGCCCAGGTTGGTCTAGAATTCCTGGGCTAGGGGCAGTCCTTTCACCTCTGCCTCCCAAAGTGCTAGGATTATAGACGTGAGCCACCACACCTGGCCTTGGGCAAGTTATTTATTCTCTGTGCCTCAGTTTCTTTATCTGTAAAATGGAGATAATAATAGTACCTATCTCCTAGACTTTTTATGAGTCTTAAATGAGCTAGTATATGTAAAACTCTTAGAATAGAGCCTAACATATGGTAAGTGTAATATGACTATTTGCTGCTATTATTACAGTTAATAACTATACACTTGCTATGAGGGACTTTTGGTGGAGAACTCTCATCTCAGATGCTCTCAGATTACAAAGAACACTATTTTTTTTTTGAGTTGGAGTCTCATCTGTCGCCCAGACTGGAGTGCAGTGGCCGCTCCCGGCCACCGCAGCCTTGACCTGCTGGGCTCCAGCAATCCTTCCGCCTCAGCCTTCCAAGTAGCCAGAATTACAGGCATGTGCTACCACACCCGGCTGATTTTTTTGATTTATTGTAGAGATGAGGTCTCATTGCCCAGGCGGGTCTCGAACCCACGGGCTCAGGCAATCCACTCACCTCAGCCTCCCAAAGGCATGGGATTACAGGCTGAGCCACCGAGCCCGAGCCCGGCAAGAACACTACTTTCCTGGACAAATTTCACAGACTCCCTTCCTGTCCTTCTCGACAACTCTTTCATTCCTTGCCTCTGTGTGATCATTCTGAACTCATGGAGGAGTTTTACCTTCAGAACTTTGCCATGTAGTCTGCCCACTATATGAAGATGTGACTAAAGCACAGCTGTGTCTGTCCACCCCTCCTCCTCCGCCTCCTGCCTTCCCATGGGCCAGTCTCTGGAGTGAATAAACCTAAGTTGCCATTCCCACTCTACCTGGCTGTGTGACCTTCAGCTAGTCAGTTAGCTTCTCTGTACCACTTCTGTGAGATGACTATTAGATGAAAGTAACCCAATGAGATAATAGATGTCAAACCCTTAGAAGATACCTTCCCTTGTTGGGTCTGTTCCCCCCTCCAGCCTTGTCCCCCATCCAGGCGTGTCTAGGAGCTCACCAGGGTTGAAGAGGATGGTCTCTTTCAGGTAGGCATATTCCTTGGGGCCCAGCTCTAGGCTCCAGAAGGACTCCAGGCAACACTGAAGCCACTGCACCGCAACCAGTGAGGGTTGGGGTCTGTCTGGTAGCTGGCCACTGCCCCCACTGCTACTGGGCTCCTCAAGCAGGATCTTCTTGAGTATGCTGGGCACTGGAGCTTCAGCTACCTCAAAAGTCACTATGTCTTGGGCCAACCCAAGCAGGAAGAGGGGGGCCCAGCAATGCTGCAGCAGCTGCCGCTGATCCCTGGGAGGCAGTTGACAGAAGGATGGCAGGCTCCTGAGGAAGGCAACTGTCTTGGCCAGAACATCCAAGGCCTCCCGGCAGGTGCGATGAGGGGCACACAGTCGGACAGGCCGGTGCTGCCTGCACAGGCAGCGGCTACGGGGTTGGGGGCTGGGGCTCAGAAGTGCATATAGAATGACCGGGCGGCCTAGAGCACCCTGGCATGGGCAGGCCCCCGGTTGGTTGGCGCTCATGGTTGGGGATCTGCTCCTACTTCCTCCCAGCTCTCTGACTGTCTTTTCTGTGCTGTGGGTGCTATTTATATCTCCGATGGGCGGGACAGGGGAATGGCCTGACAACCTTGACTCCAGAAGTCATGTTCATTGAAAAAAACCACACACACACTGACACTGGCAGGACTGGTGGGGAAGTGGTGGGGGAGGGGGCATTGGAAGCCCCATGTGACCCCGATATTACTTCAGTCAATGAAGTGGCTGGTGCAGAGCACAGGGCCTCCTGTCCACTCACTCAGCTGCCCCTTATCAGATGACTCAAGTGGATAAACAGGGTCATTAACCCAGACTGTACCAGGGTACCAAGGCCTCAGGTGCACAATCAGCAGGTGACTGTGGCAGGTGTCCTTATTGGTGCCTGCTCTTGTGTGCACACAAGACCAGGGCTTTCACTAAGCCAGGAAGCCAGCCCAGAGCTGGACAAGCCCTGAATGCAAGGCCCAACCTGGAAGTGCCTTATCGCTAGCTTGTTTGCCTAACCTTGGGGCCCTGCTCCTGCTGTCGGCAAGGAACAGGCTACAGGGAAAGGAGCCGGGACCCTAGGGGACTGGGAGGACTTTGTCCACTGTGCAGTCTAGGAAGCCCCCTTCCTCTGACTCCAGTTCTGGGGGCGCTGCAGAAATAAGGTCCTTTAGAACCCCTATCCCTGGCCTGAATTTCTACAGCTCCTGAAAGCCATGTCTGCTGAGAAGCCATCACAAAATGATAATGAAGTATGGCAGCTAATTAGCCAAGCATGGTGGTGTGTACTGAGGCAGGGAGTCCCTCCACAGCCTAATAAAATGAAGGCCTTCCCAGGATAGAGAAAGGGCCCTCCTAGTACAGTAAGATAAAAGCTTCCCGCCGGGCTCGGTGGCTCAGCCTGTAATCCCGTGCCTTTGGGAGGCTGAGGTGAGTGGATTGCCTGAGCCCGCGGGTTCAAAACCCGCCTGGGCAAGTTGGCGAGACCTCGTCTCTACAATAGATCAAAAAATCAACTGGGTGTTGTAGCACATGCCTGTAATTCCGGCTACTTGGAAGGCTGAGGCAGAAGGATCGCCGGAGCCCAGCAGGTCGAGGCTGCGGTGGCCGGGAGTGGCCACTGCACTCCAATCTGGGCGACAAA